TGCGTTGGTAAGTCCGAAAGACATAACCGTGCACTCATATAGCCCGTACCAAGTGGTGAAGGCCGTCTTCGGAATATCCTCTTCCCGAATTCTCAACTGGTGGTAGCCTGATCGCAGGTCTATCTTAGAAAACACTTTAGCTCCTTTCAGTTGATCAAATAAATCGTCGATTCGCGGCAAGGGATATTTGTTCTTGATTGTGACCTCGTTGAGGGCGCGATAATCAACGCACATCCTCTTCGTCTTATCCTTTTTCTCCACAAAAATGACCGGAGCACCCCAAGGTGAAGTACTTGGTCGAATGTACCCTTTCTGCAGCTGCTCATCAACCTGCTTCTTGACCTCGGCTAATTCGTTGGCCGCCATTCTATACGGTCTCTTGTAAATTGGAGCGGTTCCCGGTGCCAAGTCAATCCGGAATTCAATCTCTCTCTTGGGTGGCATGGTAGTGAGGTCTTCGGGAAACACTTCTGGATACTCGCAGACTATGGGTATATCTTCCAATTTCCTCAAGTTTTTCTCCACGGTGTCCACTGGGATTTCCGTCTCAATCTGATTCAAAGAGACCCCTTGCTTTGGTGAGTCTGGTGATTTGTACACCACGGTTTCTCCCTTCTCGTTGGTCAAGGTGACTGTGCGATTCACACAATCGATGACTCCCTTAAACTTGGTCAGCCAATCCATCCCAAGAATGACATCTAGGTCTTTGGATTCGAGAAGAATGAGGTTGGCTAGAAATGGTGATCTTTGGATTTCTATTGTTATAGAAGGGCTGAATTGAACCGAAGTGGAGCTATTCCCTGGGGTATGAACCCGCATTGGTGTGCTAAGTTCCTCTCTTATTAACCCATGCATCCCGACAAATTTCTTTGAAATGAAAGAATGCATTGCACCAGAATCAAAAAGTACTGTTGAAGGGATTGAGTTAACAAGGAACGTACCCAGTACGACCTCTGGTGCTGCTTGTGCCTCCTCCGCAGATGCGTGGTTAACACGAGCCTGGATAAACCTTGGCCCGGCACGCCTAGGCTTCGGACATTTGTCAGCGAAGTGGCCAAGCTCGCCACAGTTGAAGCAGGACCCTGGTTTTGCTCCAGTCTCCTTCTTGGCTTGCGCGGGCGGGCCTGATTGTGCCGGTGCCATTGGTGGGCGTGGAGCTGCACCGCGGTTGGACTGACCTCCATGGTGGTTCTGACTGCCACTGGCGCCCTGGGGGAAGTTGCTAGGGTTGAACGGGCGGTGCTGGCGGACGATCATGGTGGTAGGTCCACCCTGCTGTCCGGGAGTGAAGCGCGGCCTCTGGTGACTTCCCTGAGGTGCCCTGAACTGTGCGGCCTTCCTCTTCCTGTCCATCTTGTTGCGTTGATCCTCCTGACGGATTGCCTTGTCCACCAGCCTCTCAAAGTCAGCGTAGTCCCCAGATATCAGTTGGTTGGTCAGCTCGTCATCCAGACCCGCCATGAACTTTTCCTGCTTCTCGGCGTCGGTGCGGACATCCTCTGGTGCATATCGCGCGAGGCGATTGAACTTATGGAGGTATTCCGTCACAGTCCTGTTGCCCTGATGGAGCGCCCGGAATTCCCTCTTCTTTTGTGCCACGACCCCATCTGGCACCTGCGCCTTCCTGAAGCTACGGCAGAACTCTGCCCAAGTGACTTCAGTACCTGGTGGGCGGGTGGCCATGTGGTTATCCCACCAAGCTAACGCAGGACCTTGAAGCTGGTGTGTGGCGAAAGCAACCTTCTCCTGATCATTGCACTGCAGGAGATTCAGCTTCTTCTCTATGGCATGGAGCCAATCATTCGCCTCCATAGGGTTGGTGGTGCTGGAGAAGGTGGGTGGCCTGACACGTAGGAACTCTGGCAACTTGGACTGAGGGGGAGGGGGACCAAACTGTTGATGCTGCTGTTCGGCGTGCTGCAGCATCCGCTGGTGCATCTGCTGGTGCTGCTGCTGCATCTGCTGCATCATGGCTGCCATCATCTGGGTCTGATGTGCCATTACTTGGGCTAGCGTCGGATTCTCGGGAAGTGGTGGCGGACCATTGCCAGAATCGCTGTGGGGATGCGCCCCATCAGTGCGCTCTTCGCCGTTGCTGCCCTCGCCTGTCGCGCGGCTACCATTCCTGGTGTAGACCATCTGGAGGAAAAGCATACGGGGAGAAGAAGAAAAACAGATGCTCAGAAACTAAGCTTTATTACATAGGAACTTAAACTGCAATTGTTCTGATCTGAATTAAAACACTTAAAGAGCAAGCAAAAATCCTTATTAAGACAGCCATATCATAGGCACATGATATCGACCGTCGACTAACCCCAAACAAGCAACCTAAACACACAAACTAACAAGCAGAAGCTAGACAGTCGATAAACTAATGGAAAACGAGCCTAATGCTCGGAACGGCTCCTGCGGTCGGTGGAGTCGAAGGCGTCCTCCTGCTCGTCACCAGGTCCCTCTGAGCGACTCCCGGGGCCTGGCAGATAAGTCTCGCCGCTGCCTGACTCTGAGCCACTAGAGCTGCTGCTGCTGAGATCGCGGCTGCCACTGGGAGTAGCAGACAACCAACCTCCGGTGCCACTGGCTGGACCCCTGGCGGCTGATGCTGGAGCGAAGGAGAGAGCGGACGCGGGAGCTGACATGTGAACGGGAGCTGGGGCTGGTGCTGGAGCTGCAGGTGCTACGGGAGCTGCGGGCGGAGGTGGGTTCCTGGGCGCAAGCTGGATGCGCACGGGTGCAGTCGTCGTCTTGCGGGGCGTCGTGCGGATCCGGACTCCTCCTGGCGCAGGAAGACCCATTAACTGAGCATTCTCCCTCTTCAGGCGCGCTATCTCGTCCTTCAGAGCGACGATCCTCATGAGCTTCCCATCATTCAAGGCCTTGGTCGCCTTGTGTAGGTCTGAGTGCATCCTATCCAATCCCCTCATCACAGCACACATGTGACCAAAGGTGGTGTCGTTCTCGCCAGCTGTCGGACAGAAGGAACTGACATCATCACCGTTGGCTCGACGGGGGTGGAAGCGGTACGCCGTGTCGTGGAAGATGTAGTTGTGGCGCTCCCGTAGTCTGGCCATCACCAAGTAGGCTGCCTCCTGACAGGCGTGATCTGCTGTGCCTCCTGACGCCTCAACCGCCATGTTAGCGAGGCAAGTCCCCACGTAGCCATGGACCTCCAAGCGGACACGGTGAGGAAGCTCGCCACTGAGCGGTGGAAGAGTCGTGTACTCCGGCGCGTTGGGGTAGCCCACCACCAGTGTCATGCGTGCCAACTCTGCCACAAAGTCGATCATGCCTTCTCCGCGGTGGTTGGGTGGATGGCCGGCCATCTAGAGAAGACGAAGGAGTAGGATCAATGCATGCTCAAATCCAAATTTAAATAAAGCAATAAAAGACTCAAACAAGGGAATCGAATAAGAGCGAAATTTTTATGCATAGATCATTTTGCATGAGAGCGAATAAATAAGACAGACTCACATAACGATAAAATAATGAGAAATTAGATACATACTAATAATAACAAATAAAGCATAAATACCTTGCAACCCATGTTCCTGAGCTAGGACCTAATGCATTTCACCCATCAAATCCCAACTGACTGATGAATAAATCCCAATAGTTTTACTAAAACCCTAGGCTGACTCGTTTTGAAAAATCTCACTTAAACGAGCGACCAAAATTTTTCCCTTGAACCACAAGAACAGAACCCAATTTTCCCGGAATAAAATCCAATTGCAAAGAACATATGCAATGAAAAGGATTCAGAGGGCTCTTAGGTTTTTCCATTTGGCTTGTCCTATGGTCAAGGTCGGCTCTGATACCAACTTGTCACGCCCAGAAATTCCCGAATAGAATTTCAAGCAGAATGTGCATTAAAATCCCCGTCCAGGACCGGCCGGGGTACACAAACGACAATGTTGACATTCAGATCCACGTCTTACAAACATCATAAAAGTCTTACATAAATGCAGCGGAAGAAAAGAAAGACAACAAGAGCTAAGCCTTGACTAAAACTGCAGCGGGAACACCACTCCACAGGCATCCTCGACGGCACGGACAAAGCCTACTCCTCGGAGAAACCTTCATCTGACCCGAACTCGAACTCTGGGGTTGGGAAAAGTAGAGCAAGACTGAGTACTACCCACTGTACTCAGCAAGTCATACCGGAATAGGGGTATGATGCACGGAATTATCAAAGAAGAGCTGAAGTGGTTCATTTGCATAAAGCGAGCATTTATAAACAGAAGTTGAAAGATTTAAACAGTTGTAATAATTAATTAATGTTAACCATCCGCTATCCAACGCTATCCCACGTTGCGACAGGCCCAGCCATCCACCTGAACTATCCAATTTCAAAAGATTACACTAGGGTGAGACTAATCACGGTGAATCTGGTCGACCGCCCATAACCGCGGGCACGGCTATTCGAATAGTTTTACTCTGATCAGAGGTGTACAACTGTACCCACAAGACACAGCCCCACGACACGTTTCCGTGCGCCGACATGCCACCACGACATACCGGAAAGAGGCCGTGACAGGACCCTTCACATAACCCCCTCTAGCCAAGCACACCACACCTCAGGTTTCACCCCCACTCCTCGCAAGGCAGCGGGCAGTCCCCTCTCGTGCCTAGGTGAATCCGGAAGCGACAGAGGCCGTCGCAGGGCCCGCCCCGCTCCATCACGCCCACCCTTGCCTGGATGCGTCGACTAGAGGAAAGCTACACTACAAGCCCAGCCGTTGCCCACGCTGGCTTGTGGTAAGTACGATAAGTTCTTCCAGGGCATCCCGTGAACCGGTCCTTAACTGCCATGGGTGCGACCAGCAAAACCATGCACCCACAGCCCACCATGTGATTCATTTTAATTAACCAACACCAAAGCGGTGTCACTAACCCAACAAAACCATTAGAACCAACAGTCTAATCATTAATAGGATTTTCCCCAATGTGAACTAGTTGAACTAGGCATGGCTAAGCAATCCCTAGTCCTAACTCTAATCATGTTAGAACCCCAAGTTGACAAAGAAACAAGGTACAACAATAGCATGGCTACGGCAATAGGTAAACAACCCATAGTAACATTGTAAAACAATGCAATATTTAAAAGAAAACAATAGAGCATTTGCAATATAGGATCAACATGTTCAAGTGACAAGCATGACTTGCCTTGCTCTGCTGCTGGAGGAACCTCGGCGACTATTTCGAAGTACACCGGAGCGTCGGAGGAATCGGAATCTAGCGACATACAAAGCAAACATTGCAAACAGGCTATAAGACTACTGAAACAGGGAACAAAACCATTTTTAATGGATTCTACACATTTTTCTTGATTTACTGAGACTTGAATGGGCTTAAACGGAGCTCGGATGAATTAGTTATGAATTTTAGAAGATTCACTGTGTTTATTACTATAGCAAAAATCCTTAAATAATTTATTGCGCAATATTATCCAGGGCTGACGTCAGCACGGGGAAGCGCGGCGCTGACATGCGGGGCCCACCGGTCAGCGGCTCGGGAGAGGGAGGAAAGGCGCCGGCACGCGGGACCCACCGGTCAGCGGCTCGGGAGAGGAGGGCAGGAGGGCGGCGACACGCGGCTCGGCTTGGCTCAAGGCCAACCGACCGGCCGCGGCGACGGCGGCGGCGCGCATGCAAGCGCGTTGCTGGCAACGGCAACCGGCGGCGGAGGCGACGGCGCAAAAGGCGACGCGAAAGCGGCGGCAGCGGACGGCGGCCATGACCGAAGGCGACGGCGAGCGCGGGCGGCGGCGACGCACGAGGAAACGGGGAAGGAAAGGAGAGGGGAGGGAGTCCTCACCGGGGAAATGGCGGCGACCGGCGACGAGGAACGACGGAGGGAGGTCGACACGCGGCGGACGGCGACCGGGATGACCTAGAGAACGAAAAGAAAAAGATTAGAGAGGAAGAGAGGGGCCATAGGAGATGGGAATGCCGGCCGAAGGCGGCGGACATGGCAAACCTCACCGCCGCACGATGGGGAAGGCGCTCCGGCGGCGGACCTCGACGAAGGAGGGATGGACGGGGTGGATCTCGGCCACGCGAACCCGACGGCGGCGACGGCGCGGTGCGGCGGCGACCCTAGCGGCGGCTAGCGGCGACCGGAGTAGCGGAAAAGGCGGCGGCAAGAGGTTGCACGGCGCGGGGGAGATGGGAGGCTCGGGAGAGTTCGGCGAAATGGGGAAAAAGCGAGAGGGGGCGACGGAGAAGCTTAAATAGGGGGAGAGAGGACCGGACGTGGCCGGGAGAGGCGGGAATCGCAGGCCGATGTGGGGGAGTGGGGGAGGAGAGAGAGGCGGGATTCGAAATTCGAATCCTGGCCATCTCGGGCGCGGGCGCGAGCGGGAGAGAGAGAGGAGTGGGCGCGGGAGATGCGGCGCACGCGCGGACGTGGCTGATGTGGCCCGGAGAAGGCAGAAGCGTGGGCGCAGCGGCGGTTGCGGGCACGGCGGCGCCGGCTGGAGGAAGGGGACGGGTCCGACAGGTGGGCCCCACCTGTTGGCGACGTCGGGAGAGGAGGGAGGCGGGCGGCCTGGCTGGGCCTCGGCCTGCGGCCGGCCCAGCAGGGAGGAGGGGGAGGAAAGGAGAGAATGGGCCAGCGGCCCATTCGAAAAAAGGAGGAAAAAGAAAGGAAAAAGAAAAAGAGAAAGGAAAAAGGATTTTCCCTGGAATTAAAAATATTGCTTGCTCAATTTTAATTGGTTAAAATTATTTCTAGGGCTCTAAAAATTCCACTAAAAATTCTGTTAGTGAATTTCGACATGTAGAACTCAAGAAAAATTCCACATGCCACTTCCGATTATTATTTGCATTGATTTAAAAGGGTTTACTCTGGCTTTGCACCTGTATTTTCTTGGGGTCATTTATAAATTAAATTTAGGCTTGGGAGGAGAACTTCGGGGTGTGACATACATCAGGACTAGGAATCACCCTTATGACACAACTCCAGAACCGGGAGTACGGCACATTCGAATGATTTAATTCACCTCTGCAGAGACTGTCCAGATTTACCCACACGATGTCAACAGTTTGCAAGGCTGAGGACACCAGAGCCGTTCGAAGGTCCCACTTACTACTAGTTACTGCACAGTGGGGTCTTGGCTTATCATAGTGGTCGAACTCTTGCCAGGCCTAGGGCAAGGTTACTTTATCGTCACACTTTCAAGAGACCCACTGTTGTGAAACACTGCCCCCTAACTCCTTACGCATGTTCACCCCAAAACCGCTCATAGAGCCACCCAACAGTCTTTCATATAGTGGGACAATGTACTAGGCTAAGTCCAATGTCTTGGTCGTGTGGATGGATACAACTATGTCATTTCCCATGGTATAAGGGGGTAATTATAATCTGGTTAAACCACCAAAAACTTTCCAAGCTCCCCACACCATCTTCATCATTCATCAACATTCATAATCACAATATTCACAATCTCAATTCATAAATGCCCATTTTAACCGGATTCCTAAGTTTGTAAAGATGTTTGAATAATAAACCACATAAAATGATCTCAAATGTATCTTATTAATATCATGTAATCATGCTTAAAAGCATTTAACATCTACCCATCAGATGTTAAAAGAGTAAGATATTATGCATCAAATTTAAATATGAAGATTATATCAAGTTTTATATATGATCAAAATTTTAGTTATGTCTTGCCTTGCGCCTTAAGATTTCCCATGGTTTCAGCGTAGCCATTTGGGTCCACGTCAGCTCCTTGGATGCCGATAGAACTTGCTGTACGGTCTAACATACGAATATGAAAAAGATGGCAAATAAAGCCTATAAGCAAATTGCTACAAAGAAACGATAAAACCAAGGAATAAATAAAATTGGAGCAAGGCGAGAGGAAAAAGAATGGTTCAAAATAAATTTTAATTTGAAAACAAAAGAAATCGGGGAAATAGATAATTTGGATAGGTGGGGTTTGTTTGGTGGATTTGGTTTCTAGTCAGTGCTAGAGTTGAGCAGCACGATTGCTAGATATTTGAACTGGTTAGCCGATGCTAAGGTTGGACAGCATAACGGCTAAATATTTGGCTCATCTAGTTGATGCTATGGTCAACCATCACGACTAGTGAGTTGGGAAAATTTTGTACAGGTTTACGGAATAGTGTTACTCTACAGTTGTGAGTGATAGTAGAGCGGCTAGGGTCACACAGAGCTCGAAAGCTGGTGTGCTGTGGATGTCGAGGGAGTAGTGAGGCTCTGACCACTGTAAGCATTGAGGCGTGGGGTGCGAAGAGCGACACTTCGACATTGGGATTAGGTTATGCCGGGTTTTACAGCCAACGGTTTGACGTCGGGGTTTGAGACCACGCGAACGTCTTCAGAGAAGGCGTAAAATTCCAACAGCGGATTTTTAGTGGCTAAGGGATGGTTTGGGAATGGTTTAGAAATAAAATGAGTATTTAAATAAATCAAAGAAATTTAAACACAAAAGGGGTTTTAAATAGATTAAAGAAATAAAATTTAAAATGGTAAAAAAAAGGTGCATTTAAAAATTAAAGGATAATTAAAATTTAAAAAGGTTTTTAAATAAAACAAGAAATTCAAAATTAAAGGGGATGTAAAGTAAATCAAATAAATTTAAAATAATTTTTAAAGGTTAATTAAAATAATTTAAAATTAGAAAGTAAATAAATAAATAAGGAAAAGGGTTTTTAAATAAAGAATTTTAAATAAAATTTTAAAAATAGGAAATTTGGTATCAAAACGAAGAGTTTGAAATTATATGAATTTAGGTCAAAGTCTCATTGGGATTGGATTTGTGGTTGGAAAGATATGGGTGTCTAAAGATTGAAATTGAATTAAAATCAAATAAAAGAGGAAGGTTACTGTGCAGCGGGGCCTACTTGTCATATGTCTCTTCTTCCTCCCGTTCCTCTCCTTCCTTCTGTTTCTTCTCCCGAGCAACAACAGAGAGGAAAAGGGACAGGGCGCCGGTGCTTCGGTGGTTGAACGGCCTCGACGGCGGCGGCCAAGCGTGTTCCCGCTCGCTGCGCATCCGGGGAGGTCGGTGGAAAGCATAGGGGGAAAAGAGGATGGCTGGAACAGCGGCAACAAGAGCTCAGCTCCGGCCGGCTTTGGTGGTGCCGTTGGTGGCTTGTGGAAGTGGCTAAAGGAGAGGGGAAATAGGAAAAATGGAATCACCGGAGTGAGGCAAAGCCTATGGTAAAAGGGAATAGGAAGGGAAGCAACGGAGGAGGAGATCGGCTGGTGGTAGACAACGCCGGCCATGGCAGGAGAGAGAGGAAGAGCTCGAGGCTATGTTGATGTGGGGAAAAAGAGAGGACCTCGTCGTCATTTTATAGGCTGCGGAGGTCGGTTGCCGATGGCGGTTCACAGAGAAGGGTGAGGAGAACTCCGTGACGGCGGCGTGGAAAAGAAGGAGACGGCGCCGGCTCTGTTCATCCATTGGTCGGCCAGCGCGGCGCGCACACGCGTCGGCGGCAGCGAGGTTGGACGACGGAGGAGATGGATTACGGCACGGCGCCGGCTTGCCGTGGTTGGCAAGGCAGCGGCGACGGCAGCAGAACCGCGGGCGCAATGCCGCGGTCGGCGGCGTCTCATGGCGTGCGGTGGCGGCGCCCACAGAGGAGGTAGAAGGCGGCTTCGGTTGGCCGGCTCGACTGGGCTTCGGCTCGGCTGGGCTGGCAGCGCAAGAAGAGTGGAAAGGAAAAAGGAAAAAGTACACCGAAGGTCCCTCAACTTGTCATGGGGATAAAAAACATCCTCAAACTGTAAAACCAGATATACAGGGTCCCTTAACTATACAAAACCAGTCACCCGAGCTTCTTCGGTGGTTTTGACGCCGGTTTTAATATACGTAACGGCTGAATTAGCGAGGGACCCACGTGAGACCTACATATCAGGTGTCCACGTCACCCTCTCTCTTTCCCCTTTCTTTTTCTCTCTTCTTTTTCCTCTCCTCTTTGCGGGGCTGAGCGGCGGCCGGCTTGCGAGCGCGTGGCGGCCGGTGAGGCGGCTTGCGAGCGGAGGCGCGGAGGAGGAGGCGGGAAAGGAGGGCTCTGCGCCGGCGTCCTGCTCGGCGTCACCGTCATCGTCTACCTCCAGGAGAAGGTCGGCGGGGCGCTGACGCCGTCGTGCTCGCCGCCGTCATGGCCGCCTCCCTCGCCGTCTTCCTCGCCGGCTGGCGCCACTACCGGTACAGGGTCCTCGAGGGCAGCCCACTCACGCCGCTCGTCCACGTCACCTCGCACGGCGGCCGCGCCGCCGGCTGGTTCGGCAAGGACCTGAACAGCAGCAGGCTGGACCTCTTCTACTGGCTTCTCGCCTGCATCGGCATCGCCAACCTCGTCTTCTACGTGGTCGTCGCTAACAGATACTCGTACAAGACCGTCATGGCCGGCGGCAAGGTCGTCGACGACAAGGCCGGCGACATCGAGTGCGCCGCCGCCGCAGCTGCTGCCTACTGATCAATCAAGCAGCTGATCGATTAGCTACCTAGCTATAAAATCATGGTAAGAAAGAAAATGGCATCATCATGTAGGAGTATATATGGTCTGCTTCGTGGTACGTGACAACCAAAAAAAATTGTAATGATTAAGTCGTTCTTCCATGTATATGCTTGATCTGCTTGTGATTGCCATCTGATCGTGTGCGCTACTGCTACTGCTGATGTTGCCAAGTCCAAAACTGTTTGTTAGCGCAAGCGCTGAACTCCGATACGGAACTGAAGAAAACAGAGCAAGAACAGAGTATCGAGGAATTTCAGAACTTAGCGAAATCACGAGCAAATGTGGGGCAATTTTCTGGGGTTTTTCATTCAACTGAATTGTAAACCTTACAAGGGAAAAAATGAACTGACTGCTACTTATACTCTAGAAACAGAAAGAGAAATCCTAGGCCTAAAATCTCGTGCCATCCCACGACTCGGTTCCTCCCGGACTCCATGCAGATGCAAAATGCCACTCCGCACGCCTGACGCAATCGTCGCCACCTTCCGCAGCTTCGCCGCCAACTTCGTGCATGCATAACAAACTCCAGAATAAATTCCAGCAAAAAGGAAATTATACTAGTTTAGCCCCAAGGATAAAATTGTTAATGGAATATAACAAAGAGTCGGCTCAATCGGGAATTATTGGCCCAAGCTAAATAGTAGACTTTGGAATCTTGAATAGATAATTTAGATGAATGAGATTTCAAAGGGGAAATATTTGTTGGAGTATAAAACTGGATTTGGAAATATATGTGGATGGGAATTTCTACAGGAACAGAATTGGTGGTAGATTGGTGAACTCTAAAGGATAGTTATATTGACTCAGGGAGATTGAAAAGGATATTTTATGGACTATGGAAATATTTTGGTGGAGATCAAAAGGAAAGGTATCAACATTTCCTGTACTCTAGAGATATTGGGGTTGAGTTCAAAGGGAGAGTACTAACTGTGAGGAAATTGGAAATTGTCATTTTATGTACTCTAGGGAGGTTAGAAAATGACATTTCATGTATTCTGGAGATAGTTGAGTGATCAAAAGAAAAGTAGTGGTTCTGGGGAAAATAGGATTTGGTATTTCATGGTTTGGGTAGAGATCAAAGGGGAAATATTTGGTGGAAGATAAAACTGGATTTGATGGTAGTGTGGTAAGCTCTAAATGAAAAGGTATTAACTCTAGAGATATTGATATTTCATGTGCTCTAGAGATGGTTGAGCAGAAATTGAAAGAGTATTTGTTGGAGATGTTCGGGAATGGATTCAAAGGAAATATAATCTAGAGCCAAAGTTAGAGATTAAAGAAAATAAATAGAAAGGTTTTGTAAAATTTAAAAGAGAGCGATTAACTTTGCAAATAAAGTCTAAATCCAAGTTAAAAGAAATTAAGAGAAGGCAAGATCACTTCAATAGAAGAATCGAGAAGAGTGCAACTAAAATATTTAGCAAAAATTTTTCCCTGAAAATTTGAGTCTGTTACACCTCCGCAACCTTTGTTGCCTTAACTTAACCAGCTTTGCTACTTCATCAACCTTGACGTCTCCGAGAAACTCAACACCTCGGCATGTTCCACCAGACACAACACCGTGCTAATCTACTACAACAAGTAGTGCTCAAATCCTCAAGCTTTCTACTTAGACATTCTCAATGCTTATCTTCACTCAAGCAATGGTTATTCAACAACAAGAAATTATAGTTATTGACTCTATATTTAGTCGCTTTCCAACCAAGCATAAAGTCGGGGGCTACACAAACACAAGATTAAAATTCGACAAGCATTATGTCAAGATGAAGTAATCAATTAACCAATCAACGAGTTCTATGAAAACAACTTCTGGAGTCATTAGCTTCATCTTCGCTGCTGAACAGGCATTCTATTCCAGCAACTCCAAAATTTTCACCCTTTTGAAGATTTCAGAAATACCTCGAATTAGTCATGTTACAAACAACTACTAGTTCCAGTTATTCCTTTAAAGCATCTAGAAGACAAATTCCTTAGGGAAACCATTCAGGAGTTAACAACCATTGTGAGTAACAAATTGTTGAGGGAGCTAGAGCTATCTCCTGAAATCCTTCGGGTCAGCTCCCCTTCCTCAACTATTCAATGCCTCATAAGGGGAACCAAGGTGGATGTGCTCTCCAATTCCACTATCGGCGCCACACATCATCTCTGATTCCTATGCCTTAGCCATCTTAGGTGACGATCCATAAGCACTGACCAACGAAACCTTCAAAAGCCCCTCAGGACATCTTTTAGAAGATCTACAACTTTTGTTTTGGTCATTTTGCTATATGACTTTGTTTCAATAATTTGAATTTGAATTTAAAATTATGACAACTTCAAACAACATTTTCAAATACTAAATAATTTCAACTGAAAAATTCATCAACAACAAAGTTGTATAACTCATCAATATCTATAACTTTTATTTTGGTAATTTGTTCATCCGACAAAGTGATTTGTAACAGTGTTCATAAAATATACATATCTCTTAGATAGTTTATAAACTATAAGAAAGATATGTAAATTTTTTGAACAATGTTACTATTACTTTATCGGATGAAGAAATGACCAAAATAAAAGTTATAGATATTGATGAGTTATACAACTTTTATGTTGATGACTTTTTCAGTTGAAATCATTTAGTATTTGAAAATATTCTTTGAAGTTGTCATAATTTGAAATTCAAATTCAAATTATTGAAATAGAGTCATATAGCAAAATGACCAAAACAAAAGTTGTTGATATTGATGATTTATACAACTTTGTTGTTTATAACTTTTTCAGTTGAAATTATTTAGTATTTGAAAATGTTGTTTGAAGTTGTCATAATTTGAAATTCAAATATTATATAGGTCAATCAAACTCAGATGGAGAAATAACCAAAATAAAATTGATAGATCTTAATATGTTATACAACTTTATTTTTGGCAACTTTTTCACATAAGTTCATTTAATATGATTTTTTGTGTGTTACTTCACAATGGTACAATAAATAAAAAGAAAAAAAATGTTAAACAGAGATGGAATGAAAGAAGGCCTGTTATGGGCCAGCCCTTTTGCTCCTCCCACACCAAGAAGTCCATTTTGCCTCCCTTCTCTCAATTAATTTCAAAATATGAAAACTTCGGATCGAATTTTATCATAATAAATGACCTTATATGAAAAGTAGTAAAAACAAAGTTGTATAACTTATTTAGATCTACCTATTTTATTTTGATTATTTCTCCATCTGAGTTTGATTGATCTATATAAAATTTGAATAACAAATTATAACAACTTCAAACAACATTTTTGAATACTAAATGATTTCAACTCAGAAGGTCATCAACAACAAAGTTGTATAACTCATCAGTATCTACACCTTTTGTTTTGATCATTTTGCTATATGACTTTGTTTCAATAATTTGAATTTGAATTTTAAATTATAATAACTTCGAACAACATTTTCAAATACTAAATGATTTCAATTGAAAAAGTCATCAACAACAAAGTTGTATAACTCACCAATATCTATAACTTTTATTTTTGTCATTTCTTCATCCGACAAAGCGATAGTAACATTATTTACAAAATTTACATATCTCTCCTATACTTTATAAACTATATCAGAGATGTTTACATTTTGTGAACAATGTTACAAATCACTTTGTCGGATAAACAAATGACCAAAATAAAAATTATAGATCTAAATGGATTATACAACTTTGTTGTTGATGAATTTTTCAATTGAAGTTGTTCACTAATAAAAAATTCTATTTGAAGTTCTCAAACTTTTAATTTCAATTTCAAATTATTCAAATAGTGTCAGATGTAGAAATGACCAAAATAAAAGTTTTGCATCTTGATGAGTTCTACAATTTTTGTTTTGGTGACTTTTCCATTTGAAATCATTTATTAACCTCAATTTTTATTCGAAGTTGTTAATTTTTGAAAATTAAACATTTGAATTGTTCAGATGAACTTATTTGTAAAAATGACCAATACAATAGTTGTAGATCTCGATGAATTTTAAAATTTTGTTGTTTATGATTTTTGCATTTGAAACAGAAAAATCATCCCAAAATTAAATTTAATGTTCTCATAAATTTAAGGTGAAATGTCCATTTTGTCCATCAATTTCGTAACTACTATTAACTCACCAGGGACAGTTTGGTAAATTCGCAAGGATTGCTTCTTATCCATATAATAACTCAACCAGTGACCAACCAAACCTTATCCTCTCCCTCTCCAATCTCCCTCTTCCTCTCCTCAGATCCGTGTGCTCGGCTCCTTCCTCCCCTCTTTTCTCCCCGCTTTTCCCATCCAATCCCGGCGGCGGCGGTGGCTCGGTGACGAGAGGAGTAGCAGTGGTAGTGGTGGCTCAATGACGAGGAGGGGCGGCGAGAGCTCGGCGACAGGGAAGGGCGGCGAGAGCTCGGTTCCTCCCTCCCCTCTTCTCCTCTCCAATCCCGGCGGCGGCTCGGCGACAAGTAAGGACGGCGGGAGCTCGGCTCCTTCCGGCAACTGATGGGAGAAGACGCCCCTTGTGGAGAGCTGCTGCCGGTGCTGCCGTCGTCGTCAGCGCCGCCGTCGCAACCAAGGGGACACGGCTTCCTTGCTGGAGAGCTGCTGCCGGTGTTGCCGTCGTCGTCCTCCCCCGCCGATTACGAGTGCTACGTCCACTACACCGAGTGTAAGCGACCTCGCCCTCACCAGGATGCTTCGTTTCTAGGGTTAGGTTTGGGGTGCTTCAGATTGAGGAAATCTGGGGCTTAAATGGTCAATTAGGTTTAGGGGTTATGAAATATATGTAAATATACGTGCGGTAGTAGTACTGATGGAATAACAAAAAAGATTAGGGCATTTTGTTCGCCACAGCAGCATGGTTGGTACCATTAGGAACTAGAAACTGAAGAATACAAATCCAATTGATCTGTTATAATGATGCATGAAAGATGTTTTTCTTTCTTTTCTTCTATTGGGGTGGGTTCATTTCAGAAATACCCAATTTGTTAGGTTGACCACATGTCCCCATTTTGATCTGCGACGTCACAGACAATTCTCTTGTAATGTATATGTGCATTGTTTGTCAGAAACCTGTCGAATGGGAGGCACCATCATAATTATATGATCCAGCATTATGAAGTAACCATCAACTGATCTAAGCTGGGAGGTAATTTCTAAACCTCACCTCTGATGTTTGATGAATTTCATTTTCTTGTAAATACTTTTTTTGACCAGATTTCCTGCCATATATATTTACATATATGATCGTGTAGATACTAGCTAGATCTTTCCTCTTAGAGCATGGACAATATAATGGTTCAGGCGACTATTGTCTACATAATCTAGACGACGCACACAATAGAATATTTTAAGCAGATTTTTCATAAGTGCCAACCACTGCCTATGTTAGAAAAATCTTCTCAAGCATATAAGCATATAGTCTGATGGTCATTTCATAAAAATCTCTTGATATGATTTTATAAGTGAACATGATCAAATTAATTTGAATGTACAAGCTGATATGAAATTAAAAGAAGTAGAAGTTTATGACATGCTATTAAGAAAATTTAGGTGAACTAAATCCTTATTATGCCTTTTTTGTTTTCTTCTGACACAATTGTAAGTTTGTTTAGAGTACTGTAAGCTGTGGCACCGGGGATGGCCAACCTCATTGGCTACTGCTGCGACAGCGACGAGCGGCTTCTCATCGCCGAGTTCATGCCCAACGACACCCTCGCCAAGCACCTCTTCCACTGAGTTTCCTCCCTCCCTCCAGTCCCCTGCAATTTAACTCCGGGTCTCTATATTCCCCTCCCATTTGATGATCCTACCAACGATTGGATCCTTTTGGTCATAATGGATGTTGCTGTGCTTCGTGTGCTACCTCTTCAGTTCTGTAGTTACGCAGCCAATGGTGCAGCGAGCTTGGATTTTTATGATGAAATGGCTAGCTTCGGTAGCTGATTTAGAATTTTGCAGCGGCAAAATAAAAAGTGATAGCTGAAGGAAAATCTTGGATTCATGGTAGTATTCATGCACATCAACTGGCATTAGACAATCTCACATTTTGCCTGCTTAATTTACACACAATCAAAGCTTAATTCTATGTTAACATCAGGATTTTGTTGTGCCTAAGTAACACCTCTTTTGCTATGGATAGATGAATCGGAAGCAGCAAGGAAGCATATGTCCTTTGTCGTTTGATTGGCCTCAACACTCAGGTCAACCTCAATAAGGTTTTTGTCTATTCTCTTAATGTTACCTTGCTAATTCAAGATCTTTTGATTCGTGTGACTTGGATATGACTTTGCTTAGGTCAATGTGTGAACGACTATTTGGCATTTGGCTGGATTTGGTGGTCAGTGACTTGTACTAGTGATGTATTGACCTGGTCAGTGAACCTGTGATGTAATTGAACATGTTTTGGATGGTGATTTGTGGATGTAATTAACTGACTTGTCATGTAACTTACTTGAGGATAACATGTGATCTTTTTTTTTTCTGAATTTGTGATAGCCTGTTTTGTGAATTTGTATTAAATATGAGCTGAATGTTGTTAATTGGGCTGTAAGATGCTAGATATGTGGATGTTAATTGGGTTTTGTATTGGATTTTAAGTGGGCTCATTCTGTTTGATATATGGGCTTCTTGAGTGTGTATGGCCCAGATTCAATTTCATTGTAATGCTTGGGCCTATTGGGCCTTTTGAATATATATGCCACTTACAATACGCCTAGCCCATAATTTGGCTAAATTTATTAAATCTAATTGGATTTACAATAGGCCTAGCCTATAAACAGATTGCTCACGACATGGGCCTTAACAGGCCACATAGAATCTTATGATGATTTTTAGGTTTGATAGTGACGAAAATGGGCGTTATAACTCTATGACAACATAAGGATCATTACTAGATCAATGACAAAAAAAAAAAGGTTTCGTCATAGAACGCCATTAGAGACGCATGATAGGTGACGAATGAAACGCGAACGTCACAGATTACACAGTAAATTTCAATGTTTGTGACGTGAATGAAACGTCACCTATCATAAGATCTCTTGTAGTGAATTCCAGAGTTGTCGGTAATCTTCTCTTATTTCTTTTATTCTGTTTATTACTCTGAATTTAATATAATATTTTTCTTGAGTAATTTAGATTTATTTTGTGAGAATTATCTCTTGGTTAGTTCCTAAATAGTTTACGGGATTATTGTTCACTATAATCAACTAAAATATAATAATTGCTTTGGTGAGTTATAAGATATTAATTGCTTAGATGTGGTGTTTAAGTAATTGTTATCCAGTAATTACTGCGTATCCCACAGTACGTTTGAGGTGGGTGTAGAGGTGGTGACAGCTCTCGAGATCACTTAAATTCTCTCTGTTCGGGTACGTAGTAGAGCGACATCTCGGAACAGTGGGTTGCCAGTGACTGAAGTATTGTGTTAGGATTAAAGTTAAGCTTTCACTAGACACTGTTTCTCACTAGTAAATCCTCTCTATCCTGGTCTATCATTTGCTTGGTGTCCTTGGATGAATCGGAGAAAGATTTGACCACACACGTTCCCTTGGATTCGATACCCTTGGAATACTCCGTAGGGGAAGTGCTACATCGATATATCGGTGCACTTGCGGATTTTATCTCTGATCGTAAGAAATACCAACAAGCATTTCTGGCGCCGTTGCCGGGGAACGATTGCTGATCATTTCCGAACCTTGTTCATCCTCGTATCCTTTTTGCTTTTTTATTCTACCTCTACCCCTGCTATCCTAGAGAAGTATTCCTATCAAACTCTTCTCGACCATGGAGCAACCTCTTTTTGAGCTATCTGCTCCTCGGGGCGAATTCTATGAGCCACCTCCTTCATCGGAGCCCATTTATACAACTGGCTATGAAATTCGTCCCGAACTAATTAGTATGGTTAGGGAAAATCCTTTTTCTGGCTTTGATCTAGAAAATCCCTACCATCATCTGCGAGACTTTGAACAAGTCTGCTCATGCCTTAAGATTCGTGGCATAAGATAAGAAATTGTGCGGTGGAAATTGTTCCCGTTCTCTCTTTAAGAGAGAGCAAAGTAATGGTACACCTCTACTGTTGGATGTGTAAATGGTAGTTGGGAAAAGCTGCGAGACAGATTCTGTCTTGCCTTCTTTCCAGTTACTCGTATTACTGCCCTTCAAGTAGAAATTCTCAGTTTCAAGCAGATCGAAAACGAATCAATCGGTGCAGCTTGGTCCAGATTCACTAATTTAGTGTAGTCCGGACCAACCTTGTCCTTACCTGAGTATGTGCTTCTTCAACATTTTCATACGGGTTTGGATAAGGAGTCTGCATTCTATCTGGACATAACCGCTGGAAGATCGTTCATGCACAAAACGCCGTCAGAAGGAAGAACAATTTTGGATCGCATTCTAGAAAATACTTCCTTCGTGACCCAATCCAATGAACCCAAGCCGAAGGCATCCGTGTCCAAGATAGAGGAACCTCTAACGATCGAGCCACTCGCTGAACCATCCACTTATGCTAGCTCGATTGATGAGAAGGTTCCTGAGCAGCCGTCCATCGAGAATGAAGAAATTCAGACTCCGGATCGTGCTGCAATCCTGTTTAGGGACGGCTTTGACGGAGACTACGGCAATACCCTGAACTTTTTTAGCAAGAGGAAACCACTCATTCCTTTGCCACCTACTGATCCTATGGAAGTTAGGTTCCTACGAGAAACTATTCGGGAGTTAACATCCATAATGAGAGATGAATGGCTAAGGGAGGCAGAGCTTTCATCCGAAGTAATTCGGATAAATACCGCTCCCCGAATCATTCCTTGCCATCTGGAAGGGAACGACGTCGGTATTCTCTACAGTCCAACTGTCGAGGATAATCTCGTTTCCGAGTCTTTTGCATTCGCTTATTTAAGCGATAAGGCAGTAACCCCGACAAACAAATTCTTCAAGCATCCAAACGGAAATATCGAGGGATTTGAGAGTGTGCAAGATGTGCCTGCCTGCTTTGATGACAGGGAGGCGATCTTTGATTTCCACGTCTTCGAAATCCAAGATTTTGACATCCTAAACGGGCTGCCCATTGAGCAACTTCTCATCAACACACCCCGATTAGGTAGCCTCAAAATAACACTGGGAGAGAATGAATTTTCAATTCCATTCTTGTGGGTAAGGATCACCTTGACCGACCCTCTCCCAGAAATTGAGTGAGCGGAAGAGGTTACCGCAGTTCCCCCTCATGAGTCTCCTGAGGCCCTTCTGGAAGATGAGGTCCCCGATTTCATCAAGGAAGAAGCAGACCCCGGTGAGACTCTCGACCTGCCAATCATGGAACCGCCATCTCGACCCCCGCTTCAGCTTAAACCTCTACTTCTAGGCCTACGATATGCTTTCCTACATAATGACAGAGTGGCCCCTGTCATAATCAGCGACAAGCTCTCTGAAGACGAGACTCAACGTCTTCTCGCCATGTTGGAAAAGCATCATTCTGTTCTTGGCTACTCGCTTCAAGATCTTAGGGGGATTAATCCCGCGCTTTGCACCCATCGTATTTCTATTGGCCCCGAGAGTACTCCCTCTAGGGAAGCTCAACGACGGCTCAATAATGCAATGTGAGAAGTTGTAAAGAAAGAAGTCTTGAAACTCCTGCATGCCGGGATTATTTATCCCATACCATACAATGAGTGGGTTAGTCCAGTCCAGGTTGTGCCGAAGAAGGAAGGAATGACGGTTGTTGCAAATGCTCAAAATGAACTAATTCCGCAACGAACCGTAACTAGATGGAGAATGTGTATCGATTACAGGAAACTTAACAAGGCTACAAAGAAGGATCATTTCCCGCTACCCTTCATTGATGAAATATTGGAACGTCTAGCAAATCATTCTTTTTTCTGTTTCCTTGATGGGTATTCCGGGTATCATCAAATTCCTATCCATCCGGAGGACCAAAGTAAGACTACATTCACATGTCCGTATGGCACCTATGCATACCGTAGGATGTCCTTCGGACTATGTAACGCTCCTGCATCTTTCCAAAGATGTATGATGTCTATTTTCTCGGACATGATCGAAGATATCATGTAAGTCTTCATGGATAACTTCTCGGTTTATGGAAAGACTTTCGGTCATTGTCTGCAGAATTTAGACAAAGTCTTACAACGATGCCAAGAAAATGACCTGGTGCTTAATTGGGAAAAATGCTATTTCATGGTCCGTGAAGGGATAGTTCTTGGGCATCGAGTGTCCGAACGAGGAATCGAAGTTGATCGTGCTAAAATCGATGTTATAGATCAGCTTCCTCCTCCTGTGAACATCAAAGGAATCCACAGCTTCTTGGGTCATGCCGGCTTTTATAGAAGGTTCATCAAGGACTTCTCTACAATCGCCAGACTTCTGACCAATTTGCTAGCCAAGGATGCGCCCTTTGAGTTCGATGACGCGTGCCTAAAATCTTTCGAAATTCTCAAAAAGGCACTCATCTCTGCTCCAATCATTCAACCTCCTGATTGGACTCTGCCCTTCGAGATTATGTATGATGCAAGTGACTTTGCTGTTGGTGCGGTCTTGGGCCAAACCAAGGATAAAAAGCATCATGCAATCTGTTACGCTAGCAAAACTCTAACCGGAGCTCAGTTGAATTATGCAACTACCGAAAAAGAGCTACTTGCGGTTGTTTTTGCTATCGATAAGTTCAGGTCTTACTTAGTAGGAGCCAAAGTGATAATTTATACTGATCATGCTGCTTTGAAATACCTGCTCACTAAGAAAGATGCTAAACTACGTCTCTTAAGATGGATTTTGCTGCTCCAGGAATTTGACTTAGAAATTAAAGATAAAAAGGGAGTAGAAAATTCCGTAGCAGATCATTTGTCCGGGCTGCAGATCACTGACATGCAGGAACAACCGATAAATGATTTCTTGAGAGATGACATGCTGATGACGATTCACGACTCCAACCCGTGGTATGCCAACATAGTAAACTATATGGTATCCAAGTACATACCACCAGGGGAAAATCAACGAAAACTGAAGTATGAAAGTCGCCGTCATATATGGGATGAGCCATACCTATATCGGGTCTGCTCCGATGGCTTACTACAAAGATGTGTGTCGACTGATGGACTTAAGATCATAGAATGATGCCACGCCTCACCCTATGGTGGCCATTACGGTGCATTCCGCACCCAGGCCAAAATCTGGCAAAGTGGTTTCTTCTGGTCAACAATGTACGAAGACTCAAAAGAATTCGTCAGAAGATGCACAAGCTGCCAGAGGCAAGGAGGAATCACTGCTCGCGATGCAATGCCCCTTACAAACAATTTGCAAGTTGAGATATTCGATGTTTGGGGTATAGACTTTATGGGATCTTTCCCTAAGTCTCGCAACTGCGAGTACATTCTGGTGGCAGTCGACTATGTCTCCAAGTGGGTTGAGGCTATGCCGTGCAGCGCCGCAGATGCGAGGCATGCCAGGAAGATGTTCATAGAAATCATCTTCCCAAGATTTGGTACCCCTAGGATGGTTATAAGTGACGGAGGTTCTCATTTCATTGACAAAACCTTCCGAGACCTCCTACAAGAGATGGGAGCCAAACACAATGTGGCCACTCCTTACCATC